CAGCGCGACTGTACAACGACTTGTGACAGCCAACAAGTGAGTGTTTTTCCCTTCACAGAAGAATCTCGTGCCAGCTTATCCCATCCTGTCCGTCGGGGGGGGGGGACAAGGATTGATTCTACTGGGCGTGGGCCAGTCCGAGAAGATTGGAGCAGTGGGCCGTACACGTTGTGAGGCAACGTTCAGAGTTCGCGAGACGCGCGTCGACGCGCTACCATTGCAACCGTGCTCCAGTGCTATAAACGGGAACGCAGTGACGAGTCTCGATCGGCGCCAGTCGCTATTGCTTCCAAGCATGGGAAGTGAATGGGAGTGTACTCCTTGCCTGATCACACCCTTCTACTCTTTTGAATTCCCGAGAGCCGGCGCCGATTGATACCCTTCTGTGGCGTTGGAGCGCCGTAGCAATGGTAGCGCGTCGACGCGCGTCATCGCCAAGTCTGAACGCAGCTTAGGGGCGGACAGTGGGTCAGGACGAGGACTTTTCCCAAAACAACCCGAGGACTATCTCTGGGTTCAAGAAAACTCCCCTTGCTTACAACTGTTTCTTCGCGCCACTCGTTACTGGTTCCAGCTATTTTTCTTCTTAGGAGCGGTTTAAAGTACGCGAACTTTACAAGAGTCCAGAGAATCTCACAAAATTGTCCTATACGCTGATATGGATCAACACCACGCCCCATAAGCCCCCTAACGCCCAAAACTGGTTTGAGAAAAGGACTTTACATCCAGTTTTTCTTTTAATATTTTAGCTTGTCCTTAGGTTATTACTCCTGTGACCATTAAAATGAAAGAAATCGTTTACTCAATATAACAGTGCACCATTTTAAGACACGACTCTCACAAAAGACACAAGTATTATTTCAAACAAGTAAATAAAATCTATCTGTAATACTTACTAGAATAATCTGTCAAATAGAATCTGTTAAAACCATCCGTATATCAAATGCTGCATACATCGTTACCTATGTATATGTTATAAGTTACCAGTTAAAAATATGATATAGTTCATCAACGATCTTATTGCTGTTACCAGCTTGAAGCAAATCGTATTCTAAAGGCAGTACCTATAATGAAATGCCCTACCGTTATCACAGTTTAGAGAGAAATTCGAGTTCTACAGCGCTTGCGTGTGACACTGCCTCACTTTCATAAAACGTAGGGGTTCCACTTTTGTAGTGTTCCTGAAAATCGAACTAAGGAATTTGACTTTGAAAAGTACGTTAAAACCTATTTTATAAGGCTGCGTTTATACTTTGCGGCAGCGTTAGCGTACGAGTCCAGCGATATGCCATGAGGCAGCGTCAGCGCTCGGGGAAAGGATAGACATCGTATCTAGCGGTTTTCCAGCGCCACAGCGGGCTAGCGTAGCGAGGGGCCAGGGAGTATAGCTATCGATCTAGCGCTCTCAGCGTTCTACGAGCGTTTCGCTAGCGTTTGCAGCGGCGGGGCTAGAGAGTATAGAAGAGTAGGAAGGTACAAAATACTCGCCATCTGCTTTACTCATCTAGCCGCGCCGCTGGCAAACGCTAGTGAAACGCTCGTGAAACGCTGGAAGCGCTACGCTGCCGCAAAGTATAAAGCAGCCTAATGGCAACCGTGCAAAACAGACGGTCGAGATTGGACCCCATCCTCCGTCAATTGCTGGAGCGGACAAGCGACAGAAAGTGGCTGGGACAAAATGGGCTAGCGCCGCACCAAATCAATCCCTCCTGACACGCCCAGCGTCTGCAGCGAAACAGACAACACAAAACCTCATAAACCAATCATTATTCGGTGCCTAACATAGTTGGGAGGGCCCGGCTCGCGGCGAGTGATGACTCATCGGCTCTTCACTCATCGGCATACTTGAAACGCGAATCTAGCAGCCAAATCAGAATAAAACAAACAAGATTCACCGGGAACTTGCTGAAGAATTCCCACAGAAGCTAAAAATTTGATTTTTTGTAGTCAACAATAACAGTCAACGACAAACATGCAACAAAATTTTGTAGTTTAGGCAAGAACCTTGCAGCCTAAAACTGTTTCTTTGCACTTTTCAGTGTTAACTGTTTTAACTTTTGAATATAGCTAGGGCGAAGTTATATTCATGTCCTAAACACGAAATTACTTCTATTTTGCCGAGGAGGGAGCAGAAGAGCAGATGAGTCATCGCTCGCCGCGAGCCGCGTGGCCCCTCCCAACTACGTTAGCGCCCATTATTCTAATGGTCTGTTCAATTCTTATTATTCTAACGGTCTCGTAATTTCTATCTTGTGCCTCTTTTGGATCGATCGTATGGACAAAATCACTTTATTGGATTAGGAATTCTACTAAACTCTAAAAACATTGTAGGTGAAGCGTCGCGATGTAAAAGGAGGGTTTACACCCAGTATCGAAAGCCTGTTATGAACCTTAGCGAAATGACGGCCATCAGTGGAAGTGACGACGAAGAAGAACATGATTTGGGTTTTTCAAAAGAGCTCATAGACGAAATTCGGTCAACAAAACAGAGCAATCCAGGAATGTTCGTTTCGGCATGGCAAGAGGATGACGAAGGTATTGTGGAAGGTGATCTTGGCGATGTAAAAGAAAAGTTCTTGAAGGAAGCTGAATACGGAAACGTGGACGCTTTGAAGAACATGCTCCAGGATAATCCTCACCTTTTGTCATGTTCTGACAATGACGGGTACACAGCCTTACACCGAGCTGCATACAATAACCATCTGGACGCGGTTACGTTCTTGTTAGAATGCGGTTCTGAGCCTGAAGCCAGGACGAATCAAGGCTGGACACCTCTTCACTCAGCTGCTAACTGGGGAAACTATGAAGTAATCGGTCGATTGATTTCTCATGGTGTCGATGTGAACGCTCGTTCTAATGGAAATGTAACGGCCCTTCATCTAGCCATAAGCAGCCAATGTGAAGATGCCGAGAACGTCTTCCACAGTGTCCGGTATCTTCTACAAGCTCCAGGTATAGACGTGGGCGTACCAAGCGGTGCCGGTGATACTCCCGTGGAACTTGCTCGACGAACATCAGCCATGGTTCACATGCTTTTAACTGATCATTCAAATCGGTGATGGAACATAATTCTAGTGAACGTTGGCGTTTCATTGACTTACTTGGTGTACTTTTTCCCTATTCCACCATATTGTCAGTTTCTTACAATTCTTTATGCTGTACAACAGTGAAATGTGCGTCAAGTTTTACAGTTTTTCATGTTTCTAAACAAAGATTGCTGCACATTGTTGACGACTGTCGGTTAGGAATACGTAAGCATACAGGCATTTCGGCACAAATCTCCTAGTGGTACCGGCGTAAAATGAGGTATTGTATGCACGTCCACTGCGGAGTTACAATTTAATGGGCGCCGCTCTGAGTTACGGTACCCTGGCGGTAATAATGAAGTTAGATTCTTGTGCGCTAGTACCCCAAACGCTAGAATGCCTCGCCCTGAAAACGGCTTGCACACAACTCACACTATTTACAGAGTGCCCAAATAAAGTTCCTTTTCCCAGAGTCACAGTGCTACCGACGTACTTCTCCGAAATCGAAGATCGTATCCCAGTAATCGGAGACGTCTTAGCGTGGCGTAAAAAACTGGCGCCAGTCCAATAGGCCATGTCATTCATTTTATGAAATCTGGGTAAAGTTTAAAATTCTACTGTAGTTGGGAGGCGCCACATCATTGACTTGACTGCAGCGTTTCTAGTCATCTGCGCCCTTTCTGCGCTATGCCAAAGCAGCTAGTACACCGGGCCTCTGATGTTCTGAAGCCCTCTGAAGCTTGGGATAAGGAAAGAGGAGCAACCGATTAGCCATGATAGCACCGCCGCGTGGCACCCCTGAACTACCTTTGCACCAAATCGCGTACAGTGTTGTTCGCTGCGGATGATGGGGCGTGTCGGTGAGGTTGGGTATAGCGCGCTCCCAGCCCGTTCTACACCGGTTTCTGAAGCGGGTAGGCGGCAACCGTTGGTGGAATGCCATTGATATAAAACCTCATCGCCTGCCGAATGAAAACAAGGAGAGAAATATTCTGATGCCGCGCCAAACTCACTAGCCCCGACACACCCCGTCATCCGCAGCGAACAAGACTGTAAATACCACGCCTAATTGTAAAGTCCCGCAAAGACTTCGAGTTACGTGAGCCAATTATTGCCAAGGGCCCTGATCTAGCTTGGACTCCCTCCATCTAGCTTGAGCAAAAAGCGCCTTCCGTCCTTGCTGATATACGCCTCTTCGCACAGTGCGGCATTAAAGGGACGGTCCGAGACCAGGTATGAAGTTGGAACTATGGCGTCGGGAGGGCAATGCAGTCCGCGACGTACAATGTTGTACCGATTTCGCGATAAAAAATTGTAAGAGGGGCATTGTAGCGCAATACATGCTCAGGGACGCCTCCTTTTTTCCAATGCCTCCGCCTCCAAGGCCCGCTTTTCAGTGAAAAGCGAAGCTGCAGGACGAAAAGCATGAAAATCGTCACTTGTACGGTCGTAGAGTTCTTATCGGGGAACCAGCTGTGCGGATGGAGCGTAGTGTTGGAGATAGACTTAGCTGGGTATGTACAAAATGAGATCGAAAAGAGGTTCTATTTAGGGCGATTGCAGGCGCTGTTTGTCGACGGGGGGGGGGGGGGGCATTTTGTATTTTGTATTATCATTGCTTCCCTAGTTCCGGTTTACAAATCTCACTCTGGTAAAACCTGTGAACTCTTGTGAAGCTGAACTAAGATCGTCTAGCCACTATCCTAAAACGTGTCAACTCGAGAAACGGCTGCCTAGATGGGTCGACACATCTATGGAAAGCAAAATGCCCCCCCGCGATTGCATGTTTTTTTCTGCTTTTTTTCACTACCGAACTGCACAGCACCTTGTCGTCTATATGCCAACCCCTACTCCACTATCTGTGATGGCGAATGATTGCGGGCTCTGCCTTCAAATGCCGGCCAATATGAGGTAAAAAAAACGGGGAACTGGTGTGAAAATAAAATTGGTACCATTTTGGAGCCTTACTATACTTTAAATGACTGGAAAAGTTGCTCGAAGGATTCCACAAAACGGCCCGGTATATTGGACTGGCGCCAAAAAATATTTGATAAAACACCAGTAAAGTAATAAAATATAATGGGATACCTTTATATAGTTCTTCACGTCTTCAACATTCTCCTTTCGAACCAGTGTTACAGTGCAGCCGCCAAACCCTCCACCTGTCATTCTTGATCCAAAAACGCCTTCACATGATAACGCCATAGCGACTAGCTCATCAATTTCTGGACATGACACACGATATTTATCCCTGTAAATAATTTTCCTCTTCTAAGCATTAGTCAAGCTATAATTAATGAACATACTGCAGAGAACGATGACTCTCGCGCATGAAACGTCCAAAATGGGTTATATCGTTGTCGAGCAATGCTTCGCTTGCTTTAAGAGTTCGCTCTATTTCTTCAACCTAAAAAATCATACAAAAATCTCAACTAAGCAGAATTTATGGTCTTGTTTGCTGCGGAAGGGGTGTGTCAGTGGGGCTGGCTTCGACGCGCTGCCACCTCGTTTTTTTTGCCAGTTGTTGAAGCCATTCAGGACAGTTCCCGCGATTGAGTGGTCCGCGAAATGCCTCCGTCCATTTCGCGGACCACTCAATCGCGGGAACTTCATGCATTTGGCATCGTTGTCCGCACTCGCACATAGTATACCACTTTCATCACTTGAAACGTCAATATAAAGACGCGTGATTATTGCAACCACGATTACTTTCACTCTGCAAGACAACGGCTTACAAGCGGGACGCGTGTACATGGCGTTGCCTGGAGCGTCGTAGGGTGATTTCTGTGCTCTTGCCGAGGAATGGTTGCACGTCGAATCTGCTGATTGGGCTTGCCGACGTCCGACAAACTCGTCCAAGGCGCCGGCCCTACTGCTAAGTGGGTCTCTGTTTAGTGTTCCCAAGGTTCGTTCGCTTCCTTCTCTACTGTAAAGTTACTTGTGGGCTGCTGGTTCATGGTTGAGCACCTACTACCCGTAACACTTGATCGCAGCAATTGTCTTCAAGCGACAACAACCGGTGGGAAGTTATACGAACGATATGATACCGTCTTTCGCTTGCCAGAAGAAAAAACGTACGGCGTCGCGCCGAGTTCATCCCTCATTTGCACCCTCATCACCCGCAACGAACAAGAGGATAAATGAAAATTTGGACTCACTACATGGTGAACACAATCTAGAGTGGCAACGTCGAGCAGAGACGATTTTTCCTGTATTGTTTCATGAGTGACGTCACGGTATGAGGTAAGCTCAAATCTGAAATTCAAGGAACAGGTTACAGTGACAAGAGTTGAGGTAATACCAAGGACCAGGGACTAATTACGAGTTACTGACACAGGTGAATGCAGCGCTCAGGACGTCACCTCAGCCCCGGAATCCAGGAACGTATCCTACGTCTTACAGTTTATATTAAATCTTCTTCAGCACGAACAACGGCTTCTTCTGCCTACGAAAGAAAGCTATTATTTCACTAACCCGCTTATCAGCCTTTCTGGTTATCCCGGGTCTGTAGCGGTATCAAGCAGCGCTAAGCGCTCCTGGGCCTAGAACTCCGCATGTTACAAATTTAAGCGCGATCGTACTTCGCGATCCGATCGTTTGGATCACTCGAGCTTTGGATCGTGCCAAGGAATCGCTCGAGCGATCCGGTCGTGAAGTATGAACGCCCTCTCCCACAGATGATGAGTCTTTTCGCTTTTTTTCGGACTCTTCCCCGGTGAGACACATTGCATTATCTTTAAACATGAACTACAATACAGAAACTTACACTTTTAGAGCTTCTTCTACCATTTTGCGCCGAAGGGCATATTCACCGTCGGCATGGGTGTGAGAAACTCCGCTGTTGATGACGAGAAACAGTGTATCGTGGCCAATACTCATCGGGATTAACTCGTACGTCAGCAGCCTAAAAATTCGTCTTGAAGACACACTGTACGCCTACCTGATAGGTGGAGTTTTTTTCCAAGTGCGAGGTGATGGAGGATGGGATCCGTGGCAGAACAAAAGTTTCACTTTAACCATTTGAAAGTGCACGAAAAAGATACTGCAGAGCTTTGGTAACTGTCTGTTAGGGCACTTTGCCAGCAACTGCGGGATCTCGGGTTATCTGCCAACCGCGAAGCCTTCATTCTCTCACCACTCTTCCTCATTTTCCTTCCTCCAAACACTTGACCAGAAAAGCGGTGAGAACACTCCTCTGGACCCTCGCAGCGAGAGAGCATCCGGGACAGATGCCTCGTAACCGGGAGGTTAGACATTAAAAAGAACTCAGTCATCACCAACTTCCAGCTTCATCGAGGTACACTTCCGCGTAGCTTAGCTTATACACATATATGGCTACAGACCTGCCCACTTTCTACATGGAAAGGATCCCCTTTCCAGGAGAACGTACTGTATGTGCCTTGAACAACACAGGGATATGGATTGATCAAGCTCATAGGTCTGCTCGAATGTGCTACCTGTTAATACCATCCGTCAGGATGTACTGCCTTGCTCGGTGCGGATGTTGAGGGGTGTCAGGGAAAGGGTGAATTTGGGGCGGCGCTAAACCGTTCTCCACCAATTGCGAAAGCTGTAATGTGACCACAATTGGTAGACAACGAGATAGCGCCGCGTCAACGCCCCCCCCCCCCGCCTTCACACATCCCAATATCCGCCGAACAAGACTGTATGATGTCAAGTTTCAAGCTGCGCCACAGTGAGATTAGAGGGAAGAACAAGCTCTGAGGTAGACGAATCACTTCCCCATGAAGTGCAAAAACATGTTTCTTGGCATAATTTAACGTTCCCTCAGGCGTATTCCTCCCCTGCCTAGGCTTCGGCAAAAATCATCGCTCCAGCAGTAGCTGCCGTCCAAAAACAAAAAGTCGAAGAAATTGCGCGAAATTTGTGGTGTAGGGTGAGATTTTTCGCTGACAGGTACGCACGCGACCTCGCGATATGTCCCAACAACGCACTGCACCTATATAGGACCAGCGTTAGAACGAATTTAGTCTGGTTAAGGTGAGAAAATTCGCACCGTTCGGCCTAAAGAAAGGGAGGAGCACCTTTCGCTAGCTCGCTGACTTCTTCAAGTTCCTTACCTTGGTGAGACCGATGAACTCTTGCAATTTAAGAAATGATATGAGCTTAATTATAATCGGCGCGATCAAACTAACTCGAATTTGGAGGACTTCACAAGGTGCTAAAAGAGCATTGACCAGGGAAGTCCGCCAAATTACCATGGCTTTGAGTGGAGACCTGGGTAGATCGATAGAGTCTATAAGGTTATTTACAAATATAGATAGCAACTGCATTTCACAAGCAACTTATGAGCAGGTAAAGTTTGTAATGGTGCAGTAGGGTGGAGGCTTGGTGGTGAGCTGTGAAGCATAAGCGAGGAATCGCATACGTCGAATCGAGTCGTGGTGGTTCAGTGGTAAGGTTCGACGTTCGACGACTCGATTCGACGTATGCGATTCCTCGCTTATGCTTCACAGCTCACCACCAAGCCTCCACCCTACTGCACCATTACAAACTTTACCTGCTCATAAGTTGCTTGTGAAATGCAGTTTTTTGCTATCTATATTTGTAAATAACCTTATAGACTCTATCTACCCAAGTCTCCATTCAAAGTTCCATGGTAAGTTGGCGGACTTCCTTGGTGAGTACGATTTGGTAGCTTCACAAGAGTTTACATTAATCCCCTTCGATAGAAACGAGCACATCATCCCACCCCCCCCCCCTAGGCCGAACAGCGCCGAAACAACTCTGGTAGAATCTGCATTATCTAAGAACAACGAAACCTGCAGTCTATTCGTATGGCATGACCATGTTCGGCGAGAGCAATGACAAATTGGTCCATTATTCCACATGGCACACCAGCGTATTCGTGCTCTGCCCGACGACACAGTTCCGCACTGGCCACACCACTTGGTAGAGGGTCTAATAATGTTGTTTATTAAAGTAAAAGAAGTAAAGACAACAACGTATCGGATGGACTCCTAACTTACTGGGTAGGAATTGTGAGACGAAGTGGTAGGAAGCAAGTTCTAGCGCAGCAGAACTGCTAAGTCCACTTCCCATGGGAATGGTTGAGTGAATCACAAGGTCAAAGCATAAGTCACAGTGAGTCAGGGCTAGTATTCCTTGAATGTAGCGTCCCCATGACGCGCTCTGAATATGTGCCAATCAAGACTTCCATGGTGAAAAACACGAAAAACAAACAACTAATTACTACTAAGCAAACTTACTTCAGGCTTAATTTGATCGTACGGTTGACGTATCACAATAGGATCAGGGAATTGGGACGAAAAGACATTAGTAAAACCTCTCAGTCGGTCGCTTGCTACTCGTCCCAAGACAGCTGTATAGAGTGGTATGGCCTGCAAGGGAAAAGGAAAATGTCACACTTGAAAAAAAGTAAAAATCAATTTTGAGCCGATTTCCAGCTATCTTGACAGGAATGTCTCGTAAGTAAATATGTCCACATGTTTTTTCGTGATGATTCATGGGCAATTCGGGACATATGCACGAACGATGGTTTCGTTCTTATGTCATAAAGTAACAAACGACTTTGCCCTTTGCAATGACATTCGCATGTTCTCTCAATATCAGTGATGAATAGAAAACTCCATTGCTCATAGTTCAGAGAACCGCAGCGCAACTGCTCGCGTAAATGGGGTACAGACTGCATAAGAATTCAGGAGAGAAAAATCTACTAGTAACAACGTATGGATGGGGCCTTGAGGATAGTTCTTGATTCAAACCCAAGCATATCTGTACCGAAAACCGCAGAAGCTGTGGAGGCCAGTCCTTTGAGGAAACTGAAGGGTGATGAACCCGCTCGCTCGAGGTCCCCCTTGGTTTGTTCGCCTGGGGTCCCGGACATAATTCGTTCGTAACGGGTTAAGTTGTCAGCAAGCCCCAGCACTGTTGTCGCTTCTTTGCAGGACCAAGAATCCAGGATTTCGCGTGTGGACTCTTTCATCTACCTAATGAGGAAGAATGACCTTATAGTTCTGTCACAATGAAGGTCCCGGTTCTCATTCCTTTCAGACTCTTACTCGCAGCCTATTCGCTCGCCTTTGTTCCGTGTATTTCTTTTCCACTGACTTTTGTCTACATTTTTCACAGCGCTATTTCCTGATTTTTTTAATTCAGTTACTTAGTAGTTATTTAGGTCCGTAGCATACCCTAGAGTGTATTGAAATAAATAAATAAATAAATATTTACAAAATAATCTGCAATTTCACTTGAAAGACTGCTCACCTACCATTGGAAGAACGAAACCATCGCAATAATCCACATGATCTCCGATCAAATTCACTCGACCCGGAGCAACTGCTGCTCTCAACTCCTTAACGAAGACGTTTGCAACAGATGAAAATGTCTAGTGCAGAATTCTTTTGAATGGATACTGTACTAAAGTAGTTGGAAAGGGCGGAGGTACCGTAGTTGGGCGGGGCATGGATAACCAGCGCCTCAGTATCCCTTCCCCAAGCGTAGGCTTATTGCTTGTGAATACTATGCCTTCTCAGCGGGATAATCCCTCGGCGACTCTGCTCGTCTGCGATCTCTGAGCCTTTTCAGGAAAGGGATGCGGAGGCACATCCAAATGAGTCCCCCTACCCCCCCCCCCCCTCTCGAGAGTCGCGGTGATACTGAAACAGCGACTCTGGTAGTGCTTGGAACAAGGAATGGTCACTACCTCGGTGACAGGACAAGTGCAGACAACCAGAGTTGCCGTGGTCGCCGTAGTCCCTAAGAGGGTTATAGAGCGTTACTTCCCAGTAGCGGCATCGCGCGCACAGTCGGAGCGTTTCGTAGCTAGTTAACATGACAAACACAGGCACAGAGAGAGTTTGTCGACCTGAGAGATGCAGATGCATAGAGAGTCGTCGCGCCGCAACACTGCTACGCTAAGCGGGTTGGGTCCTGGTGCGAATGCAGCGTACGTCACCCCACGTGCAACGCCTATTTCGCCGCGATAGATAAGTACAGTCCTCATCATTACGTACTGTCGGGGCGGTTCAGTGCGGCTGCGTTTGGCGCGGGGCCAAAGTCGTTCTGCACCAGTTGTTGAAGCGGGCAAGTGACATTACTGTATTATATCCTTCGTATTACTCGTTTTCTACCACTTTTTGTCGCATACGCGTTTCAACGAAAAGGCTGAGAACGCGCTTCATTAGTGTGCACACTCCTACTGGCTGACACGCCCCGACAGTCCGTAATGATGAGGACTGTACGCTCCATTTCCCTTGAGGCGTGTGCCAACAAAATCAGTGCTCGTATAACTAGTAATGTGCAGAATTTATGAAAATTAGAAATCTGATTAGGAGATCTAATGGATCGATAATACATTAACGCTGTGCCCATTTACCTGGGAATTGCACTGCTCTACCCATCGATGATTTTCCTTGGCGCCGGGAATACCATAGCACCGATAGGTATGAGAGGAGTGACTCTCTCAAAGAAGGGGCTCTGACGCGCTTGAGAAGGGAGTTGTATACTGGACTCCCTGCTAACATAGTTGAGCCAGGCCAAGCGGCAGCGCCTCTGCAGCCTGGCTCAGCTCAACCACCTTGGCACTAGACTCCATCGAAGGGAAGGGATCCCCATTGAGATTTTGCGCTATAAGGTTCTCCCTGCTCTGCATTCCCTTTCTTCTGACGCACGCGCTTAGGGGAATGTAGTGCTGCGCGGAGTATAATCGATAGCCGCGCGGCATCCTCCCCCTCCCGGCCCCCTTCCCCACCAGGTTAACGTGGGGGGGGGGGGGGGAGGGGAGTGAAGGAGCGAGAATGCCGAGGCTAGAAGCAGAGAGACGAGAACTATCGGAACGGATAACGGCAGAGTAGCATAAGGGCCCAGTCTACGTAAAAAGTTGGAATGTGTGAGGTCGCAACGGTCATAGGTACGCTCCTTATCCATAACATAGGGAGGGCGTGGCTGCATAATCCATAAGATATGGAGGGCGTGGCTGCATACTTCAACTGATACGAGGTGGGATGCGCTTTTCGCAAGGAAGTTCCATTCAACTTTCATGTTGCCTTTAGGTGTGCACAGATATTACTACACGCAACAAGGCAGTATCCCAATTATGGGCAGCCGCTGCCACGGTCAGATGAGGCATGCAACTACGCCCTCCCCATCTGCGGGATATGAAGTTTAGCAAGCAAAAATAAAGCGATCAAAGAGATCGAGTTCAAATCGTCAGCAGAGCAATCGGGATAATCGGCGACTCTTTGATAGTTGGGCGAAAGCAATAAAATTGATGGGTATTTGGCTTTTTTCGCCGATTTTCTCGTTCTTCAAGGTCGCTGTTTGCGAGCAATGTCCTGTGTTAATCGCAAACGGAATGGAATGCCCCAACTGGACCTGAATCGCACAAAAAGGGGTCATAACTTGCAAAACCTCTGGCACAACCTTCAAGGGTTCTTCTATAGGGTTTCTGAACGAAATGAAATGATGTAGCAGGTAGTATAGAGAATATAATGAGAACAGTTGCTGGAGAAGAAGAAAAGACTTGGATGGTATTACCAGTTAGGAATATAACTTCGAAAGTAACCCACATTGAGCTGACATAGTCCAAAGTGAGTGAGAAACAATTCATATGCTTCGCGAACAACGCCGTGTTTCAAATTTACGACATGTTCAGGCTCGGTTGGTCGACTTGTCTCCGCCTCATATAATCGATCTTCCAATATTCTCTCCCCAATTGAATAATCTGCCATAATCTGCATGTAACGAGAATTTTTCAAAATAATTCCACGATTCTCACTGAATGACCCACAATACGAAAAGAAACGGCAAAAATACAAACATCTGATAATACCAGACAGCAAGTTAATAGATAGTCAGCAAAACATTGCATTACTGACCTCGGACCTGCAGTTACTACTACTGATCCTCATGATCCTCTTACTGCGGTCAAGGTAGTTGTTCCCTACAATACGCCAAATCACAAGTTTCTAGTACGCAATATGCTCGTCTGTTGAAGCGCTGTTGAATTGATTTCCAACTTTATTTTTTTCCATTCCATTTGTTCTTTACATCAAGTTATTATCAGTTTTCAACCACAGGATTCGTTTGATTCTATTTGGCATAAATTTGTTCAGTTTGTGGACTATGTTCACAACCTGGAAGCATCTCCTTGTTTTACTTTCTACTATGTTCCAGAGAAACTTCGAAATATCTTTCTTGACTGCTGTATTTTCTGAAACTGACTTCTTTTAGTCATAGAACCCAGGCATCCGTAAAATCTCAAACAATTAGTGCTTCTACACAAACGTTTTTAAATTGACGTGAAAAAGCTGTTTTTTGACAAAAGACAATAGTGTTTACTCCGATGATGCTTTACCAACGTGATATTCCACTGCTTCCTTGAAAGTCTTCAGAATACCTTCCACATAGTGCTATATTTTCTGCAGTTGCAGTTCTTTTAATTAGAAAACATCAACGTCCGTGAAATATGTAACTAGTGCTGCGTCTGCAGCAATGTTTTTAAACGAACGTAAAAAAATCAAATGTTTTCAAAGAATGCTCTGATGGTTCTCCTCTAGCACGATATTCCGGTTCATTTAATTCTTTTATTTTTCTGCAAGTACCAGTTTTGCATGTTACTCATTCATTTTCCGCAAATCAGCGCAAAAATTGGTCACTTATCAAATTTGCTACTGAACATATTCGTTATTTCGAATTTGACCTACTGATCGGTATCCGTACAAGTTTTTTCCATTATAAGTGTGGGTATTACTTCATGTGAATTGTAAATTGGTGATTAATTGCTACCTACGAGACTCTCATTACACTTAAGTTTTAATTTACTTTTTCTCTGCGCCTTTTAAGTGAGCTTTCTCCTTGGACTGTTTCGTTTCTTTTTCTGCTTTGTTTTTTTTATTCCTTCGGTTTGTATTGATTCTGTGGCTCTAGTTATGTTTCGTTTTTTCTGCATTTGCTGACGCCAATAATTTTGTCATACTGTTTCTTATTTGCAGTGGGTTCAACGCATTACTCGCAGTAATGGATTCCGAGCAGCCACCGAGTGATCCTTCACCGGATAACCGTTCAATTCCGAATGAGCACCGTAACCTTTTTTTGGTTCAATTTTAACTAAGTCAGCAAATAGGATTTTTGGTTAAACACCAAAGCATTTTATCTGCTTCACTAGTTTTTTTTTGCTTTCTTTTTTTGGAACTTTTATTAACTGCTGTTTTCTTTACTTTTTTGACAGTAGCTACTGGTCCGTGAGTTTCTAGCAGTTCTGTGTTGGTAATTACCGGTAGTGTGTGAGTGTCATGATGGTATCCTTCATTGGTATTTGGACAATATGATCTGTTAAAGACAGGGCACATCGTTGTTGGGGAATCCCCTCCAGGGGGAGAGTCGTATTTGGCCCCAGGAGAGGGGGGTTACTTTGATAGTTGGTTTTTCTCGCTTCACGGACGTTGTAGAAGGGAGGGGGTCGTACTTGCTCATTGTTGGGAGGGGGGGGGTCGTATTTACTTTCTGGTCTCCTAGAAGTGTACTATATATCCCCACACCGCCCCCTCCCCGCTCAACAGCAAAATGTTTGGGAAAAGTAGGGGAAGTTTTCGGGAAATTTTGGAAAAAGTGACAGGAAGTTGTGGAAAATCTGAGAATTTGTAGAAGGGGATGTCGTATTGTCTCAAGGCTTTTTTTTTTTTTTCACTGTGCGTATCCACTGCCGTTTTCAACCACGCGACAGCGGGTGGATTCGGATGAGGAGGGACATGTGACGGGGGGGGGGGGGTCTCCAGCTCCCCAAATAAGGGAAGTCGTACGGGACTGTGACTTAAATTCCCAACCAGTGATGTGCCCCTGACCTGCGGATTGAAGAGCTTTGCGCGTTATATGCGAGTGCTGGCAGAAATGAAGGCAAAGGAAAAAGTAGGAGATCCGCGCTTCGCGTGTATCTGTGTCTTATTGCTTCCCTTACCTAGGACTAGGTGTTCGGGCTCGCAGGTACAGAGTTACCGATTTTTCGCTGGGCTCAAAATTCATGGTAAGGATGCTAGGCACTCGTTGCGAAGGCGATGCGCCGCCCACTGTCTGAAGGATACACCTGACGGTTATTTCCAGCTGCCAGGCGGTCATTCCGCTACCAAGCCGACCTTCGTTCCCAATGCGTGAGAGTGGGCCAGTTTAAAAGGGGCAAAAGAGCTTGTGTTTTGGTACCATAAAAGCCAACTCGTCCGACGTACGTCCTTTTCGTCTGTACCTCATCAAAGGTCTTTATCAGTTCATCTTTTTTAATCGCGGTGTGTGCCTTTAAATAACAAAATTGAACTTTCTGAATTGGTGTGGACGGGAACTTTATAGCGCAGGCAGGTGAGATTCGGCGTTTGTCAGAAGCTCGAGTGGTAGGGAATAACGTTCGGTGAACCAGGGGGGGGGTCTCTCAGAGGGAAAGACTCCGATGTGTGTGTATGTGTATGTGTGTGTGTGTGTATGTGTGTGTGTGTGTGTGTGTGTGTGTGCAGCTTATCATTTGACATTTGAAATTGCTGTAGTCGTAGAAAGCAATGTAGACGAGCGAAAGCAGGCGCGAGCAGAAAGTTGGCGCTATTGGAAGGTTGAGCTCAAGTTTTTCTGTTTGACCAACATGTTTGAGCGCTTATGTGAGCACAAGTGGCGAAGTTTGTGGGCTTCTGGTTCCTAAATGATGACGTTTAGAATTTTACTGGACTTTGGAACTACCTTTTTCGCTCGTTCTACTAGGAGTTTATAGAGTTTATAGTCTTGTTCGCTGCGGATGAAGGGGCGTGTCAGAAGTTGTGTGTTTTGCACGGCGCCCAACTTTTACGCCAGTTGTTGAAGCGGCTAAACGATAAATTCGATAGAAAACGACTGATACGAACGACACGACACAAGCTTGTCGCTTGCCTGTTTCAGAAACTGTTGGAAAAGGGGTTTGGCGCCGCGCCAAACCCATCCCGCCTGACACGCCCCTTTATTCGCAGCGAGCAAGACGCTCCAATATTCACTACTTAAATATTTCGAACTCATTTTTCTCTTGCTCGATGATGCCTATATTTCCTTATTTTATATTTTCCCTTTTTCCAGTTAACTCACCTTTTTTGCAATGAATTTCTGAAATATGAGACTAGAGTTAAAGGAAATACTCCTTTTAAACTTGCCTATTTCTTTTTTAAGCGGACATGAATTCCGAATCAGGAAATGACCGTTCGGACAGGTTCTCATATCGTAATAACAACGCAATGATCATAGCTGCAGAATCGCTGTCTGGTAGTATTACGTGATTTGTTGTTATTGTTCCTTTGTTTTTATTGATTAGTATTGATCATAAGTAATAAAATTAACCCAGCTGAAACACTAAACTCTACCACCGGATCTGATTGGTCTTCAAGAGGAGCAGAAGAAAGCTGGTCTGGTATGGTATTTGCTAATATTTCTATTCTGTTCTGCTGATCGTCCATTTTCACCTTTCAAGACGAATTGGAATCGGTTTCGTCGGGTATTCCGCTTGACTGGTTTTCGGGCGATCTGATTCTGGGTAAGCACTTTACATTTACTTGTTAATTAAATTATAAGTCCAGAAAAACAAGCGGTATACAGTATTCCTAAGTGTGCGTAAAATTGAGTGCGTAGGAGCAGAGATTACACACAACACAATTCAGTCTCCGCCTAGGCAGCGCTTGGTCAGGCGGGAAGCGGTGATAGCGTCGCTCTCGTTTCCTGGCTTCACCCCAGAGTTCCTTTCCCGTCCTTGCGAGCATAAGCGCGCAGCGATCCGGGTCATGATGAAACGTACACAAACCAGGTTAACCAGCTTCAGTATGCCCAATTGTGTGCATTCGTGGAGCCGAAACATTTGATTTTTCGCGAAGTTTTCGGGGGTACTGTTTACCACCTGTTTTCCTAAATATAACTTGTTTCTTCATCTGATCCCACATTGCAGACATGAGAATTTCTGTCAGAGCGTCGGCTTCGGATACTTCTGCCAATGTGAATACGGTAAGTAAAGCGTGGTTTTTTTAGTCGCTGCTTTTTCAGACCTCTCGTTCAGGACTCCGAGGAGGCATGGTTCGCTGAATGACGGCCAGGCGGTTGCTCCTTCAGAAGAGAGCGTCGCGAGCGTGACTCCCAGTGATCCTGCTAGCGAAAGTGTAGCTTCCGACAGGAGTGCAATCCCGCAAGCTCAGAGAATGGAACCTGTTTCTAACAACAGTATGTTTACAGGAATAGAATTATAAAACTTATAAATTAGTGGACACGTATTTAGCTGAGCATGCAAAGTTGAGCTTCCTCAATGAATGTCGTGGCCGATACACGCCGAGCTTTTCAGATGCTCGTTTCTTGCCCTCTAGCGAGTATTACTATGGGGTATATGGCATGGTGAATGACATCTTCAGTTGGGACTGACTATATCACTGGACTCTTCCCCACCCCGAAAAAAAATTTCCCCACCCGCCCCCCCCCACCTTTATCGTCCCCATGAGACGACTGGCCTATTCAGGAATGCAGCGCAAGGGAATGCTTTTCTGCTATCAGGGTCCCCAGCCGGGGGCCATATTTGGTTGCTAAACGACTAGGGCTTTGTATATCATGGCGCCTTCGTTGAGTAATATGTTTTCAGTTTTAACTCGCTTTTTTTTGGCCGTTTTTGCCGTACAGGGCAGCGCGCTGTATACCCTTTTCGCCCATTGGGTCCCGCTCGCCCATTTGACCGCAGGCTTGTCCAGGAAAACTCTGATAAGTGTGTGAAGTTACGGGGAGAGTTTTATGAGTTAGAGTTGGAGTTAGGCATGAAGGATGATGCTGAGGGATCGTAGTTTTGGGTTGTTTGTCACCTGGAGGTGGTAGGAGCCCCTGCCTGCTATACAAGCCTGATCGGAAACTTCTATTCTCCCTTCTTTGCGCTCTTTCACTAAAATTATAAGATCGCTCTCTCCGCTGTAATCGTTCATAGTTTTGTTCTCTGAGAATGATGAGGTGTGTCAGGCTACGTTTGGCGCTGTGCCAAACCCTTTTTTACCCAGTCGTTGTACCGAGCAAGCAACAACACTGCCATATCGTTCGTATCAGTGTTTCCCACAATTATTGTTACTTACCCGCTTCGACAACTGATAGAGAGGGAGCTGGCGGCGTGCCAAACGCGGCCGCTTTGACACGCCCCATCATCCGCAATGAACAGGGCTGTACTCTCCCGCCCCCCTCCCCATGGTTGTCTACTACTTGTTTTCACTCCATATGCTGAGTTTGTGCCAGATAAACATATAAGGCTCATGGCAGCACTTGCGTCCCAAAGACCGAATATTTATTAGCCGCTGCTCGGCAACCCGTTAGTATTTAATTTTTACAATTTTAGCTTCCGTTATTTCCTTGTGCTCCAGTGGCTCCAGTGAGATGGTCCGAAGGCGCAAAGATCGCGTTAGTCGATTTTTCATCTTCTAGGTTTATTAGGATTCCCCAGATCTATCTGCGTAATTTGGTTTTCAGATGGACAGCGATCATGATACTCTTGACGAGGAACCGGCTCTTCATGATCCAGTTGTTGGACCTAATGGCGATGTTGAGCCATTCGATAACGAAACGTCTCAGAGAAATGGGTCCTCTCTCCCATCTACAAGTAGTGAACCTACCGATTCTGCTCAATTTATTGGGCCATCCATCCCTGTTTCGAATGTTGAACCTTCTCCCACTATTGGACCTTCCCTTCCTACGAAAATTATTGGGCCGTCTATCCCCACCTCGGGTAACGAAACTTCTCACCATTCTCTGACTGATGCACTGCCCATGTCAGAGACTCAATCTTCCTTCTCCGTTTCGGCTAGCGAACCGTTTCCTTCGCCGATTGGACCGTCTCTCCCAACCACAGACTCTGGTCCTATGCTCCCACCTACCGCTGTCGAGACGTCTCACCCACACCAGCCTATCGGGCCACTCCTTCCCCCTACCATTGGGCCATCTCTCCCGCCCTCTATCGGGCCGTCGCTTCCCCCTACCATTGGGCCTTCTATAGGGCCCTCCCTTCCTCCAACCTATGATCCTTCTCTTCCACATTCTATCGGGCCCTGCCTCCCACCTAATATTGGACCATCTTTTCCTCCTCAGAACGTTGGACCCGTTCCCCCTCGTCGAGAAATTGGACCTGCTCTTCCACCGGGATTTGCCATTGGCGACAGCGGTAATGAGGTGAGCCTGTAGAATATGAACTTTAAAGGAGTGACTTGTTAAATTACCTGTTATTCTCCGCAAGGCACCCTCATACATAAAGAGTTCGAGGAATCGGCAAATTCTCGTAACAAAGATTATTTTTGTACTGATTTGAGAAATTGGAAGAATCGCGGATATAGGGAAACTGTGAGGTTGGACGAATCGGCGAAAAGATTAGATAGACATTACTAATTCTCCGCCCTACATAGATTTTAGGAGGATGGAATAGAAATCAATACCTATTTATTTAACTCCCAATCCCACGAATCCTCGATTTACCAGAAACGTGTGTGTAAGCATGACATTAGGTTGTAACCTTGAAAGTACCTGCGATGGACTAATGCCGTTTGGACGCACGCAATTTTGGCAGTGAGCTCATTTTAAAGTGCCAAGATCACCAAATCCGCTAAAAACTTGTATATAGGGGTAATTCAACATCCTGATTACGAATATGACACTCATTCTTGGCGCTGGCGCCAAGAGAGGACACTACGATTACCTCCTGGGCTCAGCCTTAGCAGAGCGCAGGTAATCGTAGTGTCATCCATTAGCGCCAGCGCCAAGAATGAATGTCATATTCGTAATCAGGATGTTAAATTACCCATGTATACAAGTTTTCAGCGGATTTGGTGATCTTGGCACTTTATAAATGAGCTCGCTGCCAAAATTGCGTGCGTCCAAACGGCATTAGCCCGAGCGATGTCTCGGGAATCTAATGCTTGGAATCTAATGTCTAAAAATCTATGCGATTTACCAGAAACGAGTCTTGGAATCTGATGTCTCGGGAATCTAATGTCACTATTATGTGATGAAGGGATTTTTCAATAGCAGGTGATCACCAAACTTTTTTGCTTTTAGAACGATATTGAAGAAGAGGAAGAGGAGTGCTTTGGCCCTATGCCACCAAAAGAAGATGAAACCATGGAGACCGATGAACCCGTTGGCCCGATGCCCATTTCGAACGAAGCGGCTGAAGCTGCCGCTGAAGAATATGCACTTTTGAGAATGCGGATGGAGAAAAAAGAGGATTCGGTACTTTAGAGATCAATCCTTGAGTTGGCTGATAGTTTT